AAGGGGGGACAAACATGCTAAGAACACATTAAGGGGAGGTAAACATGCTAAGGACATGCTAAGGGGGGACAAACATGTTAAGGACATGCTAAGGGGGGGTAAACATGCTAAGGACATGCTAAGGGGGGACAAACATGTTAAGGACACGCTAAGGACACGTTAAGGACACGTTAAGGGGGGACAAACATGTTAAGGACAGGCCAAGGGGGGTAAACATGTTAAGGACATGCTAAGGGGGGTAAACATGCTAAGGACACGTTAAGGGGGGACGAACATGTTAAGGACATGCTAAAGGGGGGACAAACATGCTAAGGACACGTTAAGGACATGCTAAGGGGGGATGAACATGTTAAGGACATGCTAAAGGGGGGTAAACATGCTAAGGACACGTTAAGGACATGCTAAGGGGGGACAAACATGTTAAGGACAGGCTAAGGGCGGGACAAACATGCTAAGGACACATTAAGGGAAGGTAAACATGCTAAGGACACGCTAAGGGGGACAAACATGTTAAGAGGGGACAAACATATTAAGGACATGCTAAGGGGGGACAAACATGTTAAGGACACGCTAAAAGGGGACAAACATTTTAAGGACATGCTAAAGGGGTAAACATGTTAAGGACATGCTAAGGGGGTAAACATGCTAAGAACACGCTAAGGACAAACATGTTAAGGACACATTAAGGGGACAAACATGTTAAGGACATGCTAAGGGCGGGACAAACGTTAAGGACATGCTAAGTTAAGGGGGGACAAACATGCTAAGGACACATTAAGGGGAGGTAAACATGCTAAGGACACGCTAAGGGGGGACAAACATGTTAAGGACACATTAAGGGGACAAACATGTTAAGGACATGCTAAAGGGGGGACAAACATGCTAAGGACACAGGGGGGAAAAACATGTTAAGGACAGGCTAAGGGCGGGACAAACATGCTAAGGACACGCTAAGGGGGGACAAACATGTTAAGGACAGGCTAAGGGCAGGACAAACATGTTAAGGACATGCTAAAGGGGGGACAAAGATGCTAAGGACATGCTAAGGGGGGGACAAACATGCTAAGGACACGCTAAGGGGGGACAAATGTTAAGGACATGCTAAGGGGGGACAAACATGCTAAGGACATGTTAAGGGCATGCTAATGGGGGACAAACATGCTAAGGACATGCTAAGGGGGGTAAACATGCTAAGGACACGCTGGGGGGGACAAACATGTTAAGGACATGCTAAGGGGGGTAAACATGCTAAGGACACATTAAGGGGGACAAACATGTTGAAGACATGCTAAGGACACGTGAAGGGAGACACGTTAAGGACATGCTAAGGGGGGTTATAGGGGGTTAAACATGCTAAGGACACATTAAGGACATGCTAAGGGGGGTTATGGGGGTAAGCATGGTAAGGACACATTAAGGACATGCTAAGGGGGTTGCGGGGAGTAAACACATTAAGGACATGCTAAGGGGGCTTATGGGGGGTAAACATGCTAAGGACACGCTAAGGGGGGTTATAGGGGGAAACATGCTAAGGACATGCTAAGGGGGGGTTATAGGGGGTAAACATGCTAAAGACACGCTAAGGGGGTTATAGGGGGTAAACATGCTAAGGACATGCTAAGGGGGGTTATGGGGGGTAAACATGCTAAGAACATGTTAAGGACATGCTAAGGGGGTAAAAGGGGGGCAAACACGTTAAGGATGGGGCAAACACGCTAAGGACACGCTAAGCATGGGGGCAAACATGCTAAGGGCACTTTACGGGGCCTTAAACACGCAAAGGTGACAAACACGCTATGATCACATGACAAGCGCACTAACCCCTTCAACACGCTAAGAACACGCTAAGCCCTCATTCCCTCCCTTTTAAGTCCCTTTCCTTGCCTTTCAACCCCTTGGAAGTGCCGTTTCTCCCCTTCGCGTGTTCTTAGCATGTCCTTAGCATGTTCTTAGCATGTTCTTAGCATGTTACCGCCCCGCAGGCATGAGCACGGTGGCGGAGGCAGCGGCGGCGCGCCACTGCGGCCTGCGGGTGCTGGGGCTGTCGCTCATCACCAACGCGGCTGCAACACAGGAAGAGGAAGAGGAGGAAGAGCCGGAACACGCTAAGAACACGGGAGAACACGCTAAGGCCACGGGAGAACACGCTAAGGCCATGGGGCACGAGGAGGTGCTGGAGGCGGCGCAGGCCGGGGCCCGGCACCTGGCTCAGCTGCTGGTGGCGTTGGCGCCGCGCTTGCAACACATTTAGGACACGCTAAGGACACGCTAAGGACACGCTAAGGACATGTTAAGGACACGTGAAGGACACGAGGTTGGGTGCGGGTGGTGGCGCCATGGAGGAGTTCGGCTGTGGGGGTTCGAGCCCGTGTTAGTCCCATGTTGATTCCATGTTGATTCCATGTTGATCCCATGTTAATCCCATGTTAATCCCATGTTGATTCCATGTAGTTGATGGGGCTCAGTTGGTTCGATCCCATGTTGATCCCATGTTGATTCCATGTAGGTGATGAGGCTCAATGGTTTCTATCCCATGTTATTCCCATGTTAATCCCATGTTGATTCCATGTAATTGATGGGACTCAATGGTTTCTATCCCATGTTATTCCTATGTTCTTCCCATGTTGATTCCATGTAGGTGATAGGGCTCAGTGGGTTCTATCCCATGTTATTCCCATGTTGATTCCATGTAGGTGATGGGGCTCAATGGGTTCTATCCCATGTTAATCCTATGTTCTTCCCATGTTATTCCCATGTTGATTCCATGTAGTTGATAGGGCTCGGTGGGTTTGATCCCATGTTATTCCTATGTTCTTCCCATGTTGATCCCATGTTCTTCCCATGTTGATTCCATGTAGGTGATGAGGCTCAATGGTTTCTATCCCATGTTATTCCTATGTTCTTCCCATGTTGATTCCATGTAGGTGATGGGGCTCAATGGTTTCTATCCCATGTTATTCCCATGTTGATTCCATGTAGTTGATGGGGCTCAATGGTTTCTATCCCATGTTATTCCCATGTTAATCCCATGTTGATTCCATGTAGGTTATAGAGCTCAATGGTTTCTATCCCATGTTATTCCTATGTTCTTCCCATGTTGATTCTATGTTAATCCCATGTTGATTCCATGTTCTTCCCATGTCATTCTTGTGTCATTCCTATGCCATTCCTATGTCATTCCCATGTTCTTCCCATGTTACTCCCATGTCATTCCCATGTTAATCCCATGTTGATTCCATGTTCTTCCCATGTTACTCCCATGTTCTTCCCCTGAGAAGCCCATTATTGCCATGACAATCCCATGTACTTCCTGTGAAGATCCAGTGTTATTCTTGTGATATTCCCATGACATTCCCATGACATTCCCATGACATTCCTGTGCCATTCCCATGTTATTCCCATGTCATTCGCATGTTATTCCCATGAGATTCCCATTTTCTTCCTATGACATTCCCATGTCATTCCCATGTTCTTCCCGTGTCATTCCCATGCCATTCCCATGTCATTCCTATGACATTGCCACATTCTTCCCGTGCCATTCCCATGTCATTCCCATGTTCTTCCCATGAGAATCCCATGTTCTTCCTGTGTCATTCCCATGTCATTCCCATGTTATTCCCATGAGAATCCCACGACATTCCCATGTTCTTCCCATGCCACTCCCATGTCATTCCCATGTTCTTCCCATGTTATTCCCGTGTCCTTCCCATGTCATTCCCGTGTCCTTCCCATGTCATTCCCGTGTCATTCCCATGTCATTCCCATGTTCTTCCTATGACATTCCCATGTTCTTCCCGTGTCATTCCCATGTCATTCCTGTGTCCTTCCCACGTTCTTCCCATGTCATTCCCACGTCATCCCCATGCCATTCCCATGTTCTTCCTATGTTACTCCCATGTTCTTCCTGTGTCATTCCCATGAGAATCCCATGAGAATCCCATGTTATTCCTGTGTCATTCCCATGTTACTCCCATGTCCTTCCCATGCCATTCCCATGTTATTCCCATGAGAATCCCATGTCCTTCCCATGTCATTCCCATGTTCTTCCCATGTCATTCCCACGTCATTCCCATGCCATTCCCATGTCATTCCTATGACATTCCCACATTCTTCCCGTGCCATTCCCATGTTCTTCCCATGTTACTCCCATGTTCTTCCCGTGCCATTCCCATGTTCTTCCCATGTTACTCCCATGTTCTTCCCGTGTCATTCCCATGACATTCCCATGTTATTCCCATGACAATCCCACGACATTCCCATGTTCTTCCCATGCCATTCCCATGTCATTCCAATGTTATTCCCATGAGAATCCCATGTCATTCCCATGTTCTTCCCATGCCATTCCTATGTCCTTCCCATGTTATTCCCACATCATTCCCATGTTCTTCCCATGTCATTCCTATGACATTCCCACATTCTTCCCGTGCCATTCCCATGTTATCCCATGTCATCCCATGTTATCCCATGTCATTCCCATGTTCTTCCCATGTTACTCCCGTGTCATTCCCAGGTTATTCCCATGAGAATCCCATGTTCTTCCCATGTCCTTCCCGTGTCATTCCCATGTTCTTCCCGTGACATTCCCATGTCCTTCCCATGTCCTTCCCATGTCCTTCCCATGTCATTCCCGTGTCATTCCCATGTCATTCCCATGTCCTTCCTATGACATTCCCATGTTCTTCCCGTGTCATTCCCATGTCATTCCTGTGTCCTTCCCATGTTCTTCCCATGTCATTCCCATGTTCTTCCCATGTTATTCCCACATCATTCCCATGTCATTCTGACGTCATTCCCACGCCATTCCCACGTGATCCCCCCGCCGTTCCCACGCCATTCCCCCCCCCCCCATTGATTAAAGCCTTTCCTAACCCGCCACCCCTGATTGGTCCGTTCCACTCCACCCCCCCCTTTTCCCTTTACCATATATGGCAATGGAGTGGGTGGGGTTATTTATAGCCCCTCCCATGAGCCTTTGCGAGCCCAGGGGGCGGAGCCTATGGAGGGGGCGGGGCCTCAGAGGGCCAAAGGCACCTGAAGGTGGCAGGTACCGGCCATGGGGGTCACCCCCCCCCGGGTCACGTGGGGTCACGTGGGGTCACGTGGGGTCCATCCCATAATAACCCCCCCCCCCGCCCCATAGCGCTCAATGATGGAGGCCGCGCCCCCCCCCATGGAGGGCAAGGTAAAGGGGGGGGGGGTTGGTTTTGGGGTGAAAAAGGGGGGTTTTGGGTGCGGAAATGACGTCTTGGAGGGGGAAATGGTGGGGTTGGGGCAGGAAATGATGTTTTTGGGGAAAAAATGGTGGTTTTGGGACAGGAAGTGACGTTTTGGGGAGGAAATGGTGGTTTGGGGGGGGAAACGGCGTTTTTGGGGTAAAAAAGGCGTTTTGGGGGGGAAATGACGATTTTTGGGGGAAACGACAGTTTTGGGGTGAAAATGAGGTGTTTTGGGGGCGGAAATGACGATATTTGGGGGAAACGGCGGTTTTGGGGTGAAAACAGCGTTTTTTGGGAGGGAAATGGTGGTTTTGGGAGGGGAAACGGCGTTTGTGGGGCGGAAATGACGTTTTTGGGGCGGAAACGGTGGTTTTGGGGTGAAAACGGCGTTTTTGGGGGGGGAAATGGTGGTTTTGGGGCCGGAAATGACGTTTCTTGGGGTAAAACGGTGGTTTTGGGGTGAAAACGGCGTTTTTGGGGGGGAAATGGTGGGTTTTGGGGCCGGAAATGACGTTTTGGGGAGGAAAACGGCGGTTTTGGGGTGAAAACGGCGTTTTTTGGGGGGGGAAACGGCGTTTGTGGGGCGGAAATGACGTTTTTGGGGCGGAAACGGCGGTTTTGGGGTGAAAACGGCGTTTTTTGGGGGGGAAATGGTGGTTTTGGGGCGGAAATGACGTTTTTGGGGAGGGAAATGACGTTTTTGGTGTGAAAATGGTGGTTTTTGGAAGGAAAAAGGCGTTTTGGGGAGGGAAATGACGTTTTTGGGGTGAAAATGGTGGTTTTGGGGGAAAATGGTGGTTTTTGGACAGGGAAATGACGTGTTTTAGGGGGAAATGCCGTTTCGGGGGGGGGGGAAACGGCGTTTTTGGGGTGAAAATAACGTTTTGGGGGGGAAATGGTGGTTTTGGGGAGGGAAACGGCGTTTTTGGGGTCAAAATGACGGGTTTGGGGGGAGAAACGGCCGTTTTGGGGTTAAAATGGAGGGGTTTGGGGGTGAAAACGACTTTTTTGGGGTGAAAATGGCTTTTTTGGGGGGGAAACGGCGTTTTTGGGAGGAAAAACAGCGTTTTAAGGTGGAAATGGGTGTTTTGGGGAGAAACACAGTGTTTTAAGGTGGAAATGAGCGTTTTTGGGGGGGAAATGGGCGTTTTAAGGGAGGAAAATGGCGTTTTAAGGTGGAAATGGGCGTTTTGGGGAGAAAAACATCGTTTTAAGGTGGAAATGAGCGTTTTTGGGGGTGAAAACAGCGTTTTGGGGGTGAAAACACAGTTTTAAGGTGGAAATGGGTGTTTTGGGGTGAAAACGGCGTTTTAAGGTGGAAATGAGCTTTTTTGGGGTGAATATGGCGTTTTGGGGGTAAAAACACGGTTTTAAGGTGGAAATCGGCTGTTTTGGGTTAAAACCAGCGTTTTAAGGTGGAAATGAGCGTTTTTTGGGGTGAAAACGGCGTTTTGCGGGTGAAAACACGGGTTTAAGGTGGAAATCGGCCGTTTTGGGTTAAAACCAGCGTTTTAAGGTGGAAATGAGCGTTTTTGGGGTGAAAACGGCGTTTTAAGGGAGGAAAATGGTGTTTTAAGGTGGAAATGGGCGTTTTGGGGAGAAAAACATCGTTTTAAGGTGGAAATGGGCGTTTTTGGGGGTGAAAACACGGTTTTAAGGTGAAAATGGGCCGTTTTGGGTTAAAACCAGCGTTTTAAGGTGGAAATGAGCGGTTTTGGGGGGGGAAATGGGCGTTTTAAGGGAGGAAAACAGCGTTTTAAGGTGGAAATGGGTGTTTTGGGGAGAAAAACATCGTTTTAAGGTGAAAATGAGCGTTTTTGGGGTGAAAACGGCGTTTTAAGGGAGGAAAATGGTGTTTTAAGGTGGAAATGGGCGTTTTGGGGGGGGAAACATCGTTTTAAGGTGGAAATGGGCGGTTTTGGGGGTGAAAACGGCGTTTTGGGAGTGAAAACACGGTTTTAAGGTGGAAATCGGCCGTTTTGGGTTAAAACCAGCGTTTTAAGGTGGAAATGAGCGTTTTTGGGGGGGGAAATGGGCGTTTTAAGGGAGGAAAAGGACGTTTTAAGGTGGAAATGGGCTTTTTGGGGAGAAAACCACGGTTTTAAGGTGGAAATCGGCTGTTTTGGGTTAAAACCAGCGTTTTAAGGTGGAAATGAGCGTTTTTGGGGGGGGAAATGGGCGTTTTAAGGGAGGAAAAGGACGTTTTAAGGTGGAAATGGGCGTTTTGGGGAGAAAAACAGCGTTTTAAGGTGGAAATGAGCGTTTTTTGGGGGTGAAAACGGCGTTTTGGGGGTGAAAACATCGTTTTAAGGTGGAAATCAGCCGTTTTGGGTTAAAATCAGCAGTTTAAGGTGGAAATGAGCGGTTTTTTTGGGGGGAAATGGGTGTTTTAAGGGGGAAACGGTCGTTTTGGGGTGAAAAACGGGGGTTTTGGGGGGGGAAAGGGGGTGTTTGAAGGTAGAAACGGCGATTTTGGGGCTGGAAACGGGGGTTTTGGGGTGAAAAATAGGGTTTTAGGGGTCAAAAAGAGCGTTTTTGGGGGAGAAAAGGCGTTTCAGGGGCGTTTTGGGGCGAAAAAAGGCGATTTTGGGGCAGAAAAGGGGCGTTTCCGGCGGAAGGGGAGGGGCTTAGGGGGAAAGGGGCGGGGTTTGAGGCGTTGGGAAGCGTTTTGGGGTGTTTTGGGGCATTTTGGGGGGTTTTGGGGTTGATTTTTGCTGATTTTGTGTGTTTTTTGATTTTTGGGGGGGGATTTTGTGGTTTTGGGGCGTTTTTGGGGTGTTTTGGGCGTTTTTAGGCTGCTTTGGGGGAATTTTGGGGTGATTTTCAGGGGTTTTGTAATTTTGAGGGTTTTTTTGTCATTTTTTGTGTGGTTTTTGGTGTTACGGGATTTTTGGGGTGAATTTGAGTGGTTTGGGGTATTTTTTACCAATTTTGCGTGATTTTTAGCGTTTGGGGTGATTTGGGGGTGATTTTCAGGGATTTTGGGTGTTTTTTACCATTTTTGCTTTTTTTTTGGCGTTTTGGGTAAGTTTGGGGTGATTTTCAGGGATTTAGGGAGTTTTTCGCCATTTTTGTGGGGTTTTGGCATTTTGAGTGATTTTTTGGGTGATTTTCAGGGAATTTGGGAGTTTTTCACCATTTTTGTGGGGTTTTGGCATTTTGAGTGATTTTTGGGTGAATTTTAAGTTATTTTGGGTGGTTTTCGGGGTTTTGAGTGATTTGGGGGTGATTTTCAGGGATTTTGGGTGGTTTTCGCCATTTTTGGGGAGATTTTTGGCGTTTTGATGCGTTTGTCCTCTGTTTTGCTGTGATTTATTGCATTTTTGGGGCGATTTGCCCTGATTTTGGGTGTTTTGGGGCATTTTGGGGTGGTTTGGGTCGATTTTTTGCCCTTTTTGGGTGTTTTTTACCATTTTGGGGGATTTTTTGTGTGTTTTTTCGTGTTAGGGGATTTTTGGGGGTGATTTTCAGTGATTTTGGTTGTTTTTCGCCATTTTTTGGCGGTATTTTTTGCATTTTGACTAATTTTGGGTTGAATTTTCAGTTATTTTTGGTGTTTTTTAGCGTTTTGAGTGATTTTGTGGCGATTTTGGGGGATTTTTGGTGTTTTTTGCCATTTTTTGTTGTGGTTTTCGGTGTTTTGAGTGATTTTGGAGTGAATTTTAAGTTATTTTGGGGTGTTTTTTTGGCGTTTTGAGTGATTTTGGGCTGATTTCCAGGTATTTTTGGTGGTTTTTGCCATTTTTTGGTGATTTTCGGCGTTTTGAGTGAATTTTAAGTTGTTTTGGGTTCATTTTAACGGATTTTGGGTGTTTTTCGCCGTTTTTTGGGTGTTTTTTGCCCTTTTGACACGTTTCTCCTCAGTTTTGCTGTGATTTATTGCGTTTTGGGGGCGATTTGCTGTGGTTTTTGGGTGGTTTGGGTTGATTTTTTGCCCTTTTTGGATGTTCTTTACCATTCTGGGGTATTTTTGGGTGATTTTCAGTGATTTTGGGTCGATTTTTTGCCCTTTTTGGCTATTTTTTACCATTCTGGGGTATTTTGGGGCGATTTTCATGGACTTTGGGTCTTTTTTTTGCCATTTTTTGGTGTTTTTTACCATTCTGGGGTATTTTTGGGTGATTTTAAGGGATTTTGGGTCGATTTTTTGCCCTTTTTGGGTGTTTTTTACCATTCTGGGGTATTTTGGTGCGATTTCCATGGATTTTGGGTCGATTTTTTGCGTTTTGGGGGTGTTTTTTACCATTCTGAGGTATTTTGGGGCGATTTCCATGGATTTTGGGTCGATTTTTTGCCCTGTTTGGGTGTTTTTTACCATTCTGGGGTATTTTGGGGTGATTTTCATGGATTTTGAGTCGATTTTTTGCCCTTTTTTGCTGTTTTTTACCATTCTGGGGGATTTTGGTGCGATTTCCATGGATTTTGGTTTTTTTTTGCCTTTTTAGGGTGTTTTTTACCATTCTGGGGGATTTTGGTGCGATTTCCATGGATTTTGGGTCGATTTTTTGCGTTTTTTGGGTGTTTTTTACCATTCTGGGGGATTTTTGGGGCCATTTGGGGGGGTTTTGGGGCCCTTCCTGCCCCATTTCACCCCCCCACACACACTTTGTTCCTCCCCACCAGCAGGGGGCGCTGTTGGAGACCCCCTATGGGCCCGTGTCCGTGTCTATGGTGGGGACCCCCCGGCCCGGGCACCCGGCGATCCTCACCTTCCCCGATGTGGGGCACACGAGTGAGTGCGGGACCCATAGAGACCCATAGGGACCCATAGAGACCCACAGAGAGCCATAGGGACCCCATAGAGACCCATAGGGACCCATAGAGACCCATAGAGACCCCATTGGGACCCATAGAGACCCCATAGGGACCCCATAGAGACCCCATAGGGACCCATAGGGACCCATAGAGACCCCATAGAGACCCCATAGAGAGACCCCATAGAGACCCATAGAGACCCATAGAGACCCCATTGGGACCCATAGAGACCCATAGAGACCCCATTGGGACCCATAGAGACCCATAGGGACCCATAGAGACCCCATTGGGACCCATAGGGACCCATAGAGACCCATAGAGACCCCATAGGGACCCATAGAGACCCATAGAGACCCCATAGGGACCCATAGAGACCCATAGAGACCCCATAGGGACCCATAGAGACCCATAGAGACCCATAGGGACCCATAGAGACCCATAGAGACCCCATAGAGATCCCTAGGGACCCATAGAGACTCCATAGAGACCCATAGAGACCCATAGAGACCCATAGAGATCCATAGGGACCCATAGAGACCCCACAGAGATCCCATAGAGACCCATAGAGACCTCATAGACCCATAGAGACCCATAGGGACCCCTAGAGACCCCATAGAGACCCCACAGGGACCCATATAGACCCCATAGGGACCCATGGAGACCCTGTAGGGACCCCATAGAGATCCATAGAGACCCATAGAGTTCCCATAGAGACCCCCTAGGGACCTATACAGACCTCATAGGGACCCATAGAAACCCCATAGAGACCCATAGAGACCCATAGGGACCCCATAGAGCCCCCATAGAGACCCATAGAGACCCCATCTGGACCCATTGAGACCCATAGACCCATAGGGACACATAGATACCATAGGGACCCATAGAGACACCATAGAGACCCCATAGGGACCCATAGAGACACCATAGGGACCCATAGATCCCATTGACCACTTGGCCCCCACTGACCCCCATTGTGCCCCATAGGCCCCACTGACTCTATCAGGACGCACTGTGCCCCATAGCCCCCATTGTGTCCCACTGACACCTATTGAGACCCATTGTAACCCACTGACCCCATTGACCCAGTTGAGCCCCATTGACACCCATTGAGCCCCATTGTGCCCCACTGTGCCCCATTGACCCCCACTGTGCCCCATTGACAACCGTAGGGAGCCGTTGACCCTATTGACACCCATTGTGCCCCATTGACACCCATTGACCCCACTGACCCCCATTGTGCCCCATTGACACCCATTGTGCCCCATTGACACCCATTGTGCCCCATTGACACCCATTGACCCCATTGACCCCCATTGGCCCCATTGACGCCCATTGACTCCCATTAACCCTATTGACACCCATAGCACCCCGTTAACCCTATTGGCCCCATTGACCCCCATTGACCCCACTGACACCCATAGCGCCCCATTGACAGTCTATGACTCCATTGACCCCCATTGAGTCCTATTGATTCCAATTGACCCTATTGACCCCCATTGACCCCCATTGACTCCCATAGCGTCCCATTGACCCTATTAACCCCCACTGTCACCCACTGTACCCCATTGACTCCCATTGACCCCCATTGACCCTATTGACTCCCATTGACCCCATTGACACCCATAGCGTCCCATTGACCCTATTGACCCCCACTGGCCCCATTGACTCCCATTGAGCCCCATTGGCCCCACTGACACCCATTGACCCCATTGACTCCCATTGATCCCCATTGACTCCCATTGACTCCCATTGACCCCCATTGACCCCCATTGCCCCCCATTGCCCCATTGACTCCCATTGACCCCCGTTGACCCCATAGCATCCCATTGACCCCTATTGACTCCCCTTGACTCCCCTTGACCCCCATTGCCCCCCATTGCCCCCCATTGACTCCCATTGCCCCCATTGACCCCCATTGACCCCCATTGACTCCCATTGACTCCCATTGACCCATTTGCCCCCCATTGACTCCCTTTGACTCCCATTGCCCCCCATTGCCCCCCATTGACTCCCATTGCCCCCCATTGACTCCCATTGCCCCTATTGACCCCCATTGACTCCCATTGACCCCTATTGACTCCCATTGCCCCCCATTGACTCCCATTGACCCCCATTGACCCCCATTGACCCCCATTGAATCCCATTGACCCCCATTGACTCCATTGACCCCCATTGACCCCCATTGACCCCCATTGACTCCATTGACCCCCATTGACCCCCATTGACTCCCATTGACCCCCATTGACTCCCATTGACTCCCATTGACTCCCATTGACTCCCATTGACTCCCATTGACTCCCATTGCCCCCCATTGACCCCCATTGACACCCATTGACCCCCATTGACCCCATAGCATCCCATTGACCCCCATTGACTCCCATTGCCCCCCATTGACTCCCACTGACCCCCATTGACCCCCATTGACTCCCATTGACCCCCATTGCCCCCCATTGACTCCCATTGCCCCCATTGCCCCCATTGCCCCCATTGACCCCATTGACTCCCATTGACTCCCACTGACTCCCATTGACTCCCATTGACTCCCATTGCCCCCATTGACTCCCATTGCCCCCCATTGGCTCCCATTGCCCCCCATTGACTCCCATTGCCCCCCATTGACTCCCATTGACTCCCATTGCCCCCCATTGACCCCATAGCGCCCCATAGCGCCCCACATCCGCCCCTTTCCCCCAGGCTCCTCGTGTTTCGGGCCCCTCTTCGCGCACGAGGAGATGCGGGACCTGCTCCGGAGCTTCCTGGTGCTGCACCTGGAGCCGCCGGGCATGGAGGCGGGGGCGGCGGCCTACCCCCCCGGGTGCGTGCCCCACGGCGACCCATGGAGACCCATTGAGCCCCATTGAGCCCCATTGAGACCCATTGACACCCATTGACCCCCATTGAGCCCTATTGACACCCATTGACCCTATTGAGCCCTATTGACACCCATTGAACCCCATTGAGCCCCATTGACACCCATTGACCCTATTGACACCCATTGAGCCCCATTGAGCCCCATTGAGCCCCATTGAGCCCTATTGACACCCATTGACCCTATTGACACCATTGAGCCCCATTGAGCCCTATTGACACCGTTGAGCCCCATTGAGCCCTATTGACAACCAATGACCCCACTGAGCCCCATTGAGCCCCATTGAGCCCCATTGACACCCATTGACCCCCATTGAGCCCCATTGACCCTATTGACACCCATTGAGCCCCATTGAGCCCATTGAGCCCTATTGACAACCAATGACCCCACTGAGCCCCATTGAGACCTATTGACCCTATTGAGCCCTATTGAAACCCATTGACCCTATTGACACCATTGACACCCATTGAGCCCCATTGAGCCCTAATGACCCCACTGACCCCCATTGAGCCCCATTGACACCCATTGAGCTCCATTGAGCCCCATTGAGCTCCATTGACCCCATTGAGCCCCATTGAGCTCCATTGAGCCCCATTGAACCCCATTGACCCTATTGACAACCAATGACCCCACTGAGCCCCATTGACACCCATTGAGCTCCATTGGCCCCATTGAGGCCCATTGACCCTCTTGAGCCCCATTGATTCCTATGCGAGTCCATTGAGCCCCATTGACACCCATTGACCCTATTGACACCATTGAGCCCTATTGACACCCATTGAGCCCCATTGACCCCCACTGACCCCCATTAAGCCCCATTGACCCCCACTAACCCCCATTAAGCCCCATTGACACCCATTGAGCTCCATTCACCACCATTGACCCCATTGACACCCATTGAGCCCCATTGACCCCCATTGAGCCCCATTGAGCTCCATTGACACCCATTGAGCTCCATTGACCCCCATTGACCCCCATTGAGCCCCATTGACCCTATTGACCCTATAGACACCCATTGAGCCCCATTGAGCCCTATTGACACCCATTGAGCCCCATTGAGCCCCATTGACCCACATTGACACCCATTGAGCCCACTGAGCCCCATTGAGCCCTATTGACACCCATTGAGCCCCATTGAGCCCTATCGACAACCAATGACCCCACTGAGCCCCATTGAGACCTATTGACCCTATTGAGCCCTATTGAAACCCATTGACCCTATTGACACCATTGACACCCATTGAGCCCCATTGAGCCCTAATGACCCCACTGACCCCCATTGAGCCCCATTGACACCCATTGAGCTCCATTGAGCCCCACTGACACCCTTTGAGCCCCATTGACCCCACTGAGCCCCATTGAGCTCCATTGAGCCCCATTGAACCCCATTGACCCTATTGACAACCAATGACCCCACTGAGCCCCATTGACACCCATTGAGCTCCATTGGCCCCATTGAGGCCCATTGACCCTCTTGAGCCCCATTGATTCCTATGCGAGTCCATTGAGCCCCATTGACACCCATTGACCCTATTGACACCATTGAGCCCTATTGACACCCATTGAGCCCCATTGACCCCCACTAACCCCCATTAAGCCCCATTGACACCCATTGAGCTCCATTCACCACCATTGACCCCATTGACACCCATTGAGCCCCATTGACCCCCATTAAGCCCCATCGACACCCATTGAGCTCCATTGACCCCCATTGACCCCATTGAGCCCCATTGAGCTCCATTGACCAATGACCCCATTGAGCCCCATTGATCCCTATGGGAGCCATTAACCACCATTGACCCCTATGGGACCCCATTGGACACCTATAGGGACCCCATTGACCCCTATTGGGAGCCCATTGACCCCTATTGGGACCCCATTGATCCCTATTGGGACCCCATTGATCCCTATTGGGACCCCATTGACCCCTATTGGGAGCCACTGGCCCCATTGATCCCTATGGGACCCCATTGACCCTACTATAGGACCCCATTGACCCTACTGGGAGCCATTGACCCCCAGTGTCCCCCATGGGGCCCCACTGATCCCCATGGGACCCCATTGACCCCCATTGATCCCTATGGGACCCCATTGACCCCTATTGGGACCCCATTGATCCCTATGGGACCCCATTGGACACCTATTGGGACCCCATTGATCCCTATTGGGCCCCATTGACCCCTATTGGGAGCCACTGGCCCCATTGATCCCTATGGGACCCCATTGACCCTACTGGGAGCCATTGACCCCCAGTGTCCCCCATGGGGCCCCACTGATCCCCATGGGACCCCATTGACCCCCATTGATCCCTATGGGACCCCATTGACCCCCATAGATCCCTATGGGGCCTCATTGACCCCTATTGGGACCCCATTGATCCCTATGGGACCCCATTGACCCCCATTGATCCCTATGGGGCCTCATTGACCCCATTGATGCCCATAGACCCCACTGGGACCCATGGATGCCATTGCCCCCCATTGCCCCATTGTGCCCCATTGCCCCATTGTGCCCCATAGCCCCCATTACCCCATTGCCCCCATCACCCCCACCACCCCATTACCCCCACACCCCCATCCCCCCCATTACCCCATTGCCCCCCATTACCCCATTGTGCCCCATAGCCCCCATTACCCCATTGCCCCCCATTGCCCCATTGTGCCCCATAGCCCCCATTACCCCATTGTGCCCCATAGCCCCCATTGTCCCCATTGTGCCCCATTGCCCCCATTGTGTCCCATTGCCCCCATTGCCCCATTGTGCCCCATAGCCCCCATTACCCCATTGCCCCCCATTGCCCCATTGCCCCCCATTACCCCATTGTGCCCCATTGCCCCATAGCCCCCATTGCCCCATTGTGCCCCATAGCCCCCATTACCCCATTGCCCCCCATTGCCCCATTGTGCCCCATAGCCCCCATTGCCCCATTGCCCCCATTGCCCCATTGCCCCCCATTGCCCCCATTACCCCATTGCCCCCCATTACCCCATTGTGCCCCATA